TGGTTCTAGATCGATGAAAAATAATGGCAGTGGATATTTATCAATAGGATGTAAAATAGAAGATATATGTCTTACCGAATGGCCGATATCTTCCAGATCTTTTTTTATAGCGGTAGTGGGTGTGGTAGAGTGAAGACCTCTCAAAACCACTCTATATGTTTTGTCTTCTTTTAGTTGATAGCAGTGGAAGTCGTGATTGAGTGCTGTCAAATGATTTATAAGTTTTTTATAATCTTCTTTAGTATTGGTGTTAATCTTTATATCGTTGACTCGAGAAAAACACCGGAAGTTGGTCGGTCCGATCAGATTAGCTATTTCTTGACCGAACTGAATGAAATTGTCAATCTTGCTTACATAAATCGGAGGTGGCACTGGTTCAGTGAAAGTTCTAGGTTCAGTGATTTCGTTAATTTTATTATTGGCTGTAACAGAATTGTTACTGGATGTGTTAGTTGATGGTTTAGTGTCAGGTTTCATAGCTGAATTATTACTAGTTATTGATTGTTTATTTACTTTGAGAGCTTGCTTTGTTTTAGCGGATTTGTTTTTTTTTTTATTAGGTGAGTTGCCCGCCGAACCGGGGGCAGAGTTTCTATGGCGCTTTTGGAGAGTTCGCCTTGTTAAATATTGAGAATCAGTCTCACTGATTTCGGAGAAAGGAGTCTCTTCATCTGATTCGTCAAAAGAAATGTTCTTATCAGAATCCATACCTCTAAATAATAATATATACAAAAAGAAGAGAGAAAAAAAAAAGTATCACTAATAAGAAAATTTACAAAACAAATACTTAATAACTAATCTATTTACAAATATATATACAAATATTAAAAAAAACATTTTTATAAATAAATAAAATAGAGTCTCAGTAGAAAAAAAAAATATTAAAATAAAATAATCAATTAAGAAATAAAAACAGAGAAAAAAAAAATATATACTGTCTTAGGTACGAACTCAAGATATTCTGAACGTAAAATAAAGCGCCGTGACCTTGAATTTGAAAGATAAGACCCGCTGAGGGGAATTATCTGCCACGTAAACTGTCTCTAGCAATCGAGTACCAATTTAATGTTGCTAATTGTTAATAAAAGTCACTCACCTCACTGATTGTAATGTAAAAATGTTAAATTGTTTATAAACTCACTGTTTACAAAGTCTGAGAACAGGATTTGAGATAATAAGCACATAACAAACTAGCAAAGACGGAACGATACGAATATAGAACCTCAGTTTCGGCCATGACACTTACGACCCACGTGAAACGCAATGAATTATAATAAAATAATGTTAAAAGACCTATACATCGGTCTATGGCATGGTCCGAAAAATATTTGGTAGACGACAATCACAAAATAAAAACTATGAAACTCTATAAATCTCGATAAAATTAAGTCTTTAGACCGATATATAGGTCTTTGCTCACATTTATGTTTATATCGATTCCATGTTCATTGTACGAGTTCTCGTCTTGGTGTAAGGAGACTTCCCTCACCAACCCCTGATCCGGGAAAACGCCGTTTAGTCTAAAAGATGAGAAAGGGGTGGACCCTGAAAAAAAAAAAAAACAATTTGTGAGGCCGATTTATCTCTCTTCACCCAAATTTATGTTTATGTCAAAACCTTGGAAACTGATTGATACATTCATTAGGAATAGAAATAATACTTATTCCATGTGATATTCTATGAATCGTGATAAAATTACGTCGTAAATCCGATATATCGGTGTTCAGGTATTAGCTCAAATTTTGGGGAGATTCCATATTTCTGATAGAGTGGCATCATCTGCTTCACTAATCGGGATCCCAGAGCTTCGTGAATTCAGAGCTGTGTAATTTACATCTAATGATGCAATAGTTGAAAGGACAATGGAGGTATAGTTTACTGTGTAGTTGCGAAGATTATTCTCTTCCTTTCAGCATAAATTCAAGAAACTGGTTAGATAACGCCTTCCTATCTTCCTAGGATGATACAATGTCGCTACAGATGACTTTGAATGCCTCTTCCTTCAAAGCACCATCTGGACTCTGAGAAAACGATCAAACGTTTCTAAAGAGGTTTTTGTCCACTTCAGTTTCTCCAAATGAGTAAGCTAAAATTGCGGCGTTTGTGGATTGTACGACTATTAGTTATTAAACTGTTATTTTCCATTGCAAAGTTTATTAAAAGGGAATTAATAGATTTGCGTTGTCTGCCGAAAAAAAATCAAAAGTTGTCACTCTAATTGTAAGTGGATTCTGTTGGAATATCGGAAAGGGAAAATTTATCAAATTATTCCTTAATTTAATTTTCTAAAAGGTTACATGATGATTTTTCGGAATAAACGGACGATAGGGACCTAAATATTTAAATATAATATCAGATCTAGAGTTATTAAAACTACAGTAAATATATTTAAGGTTATAAACATATCTATGAATTTTTTTTATATTTCAATTCTTCTTTCACACAAGTACAATGAAATAGTAGTGGATACTGTTAGAATATCACAAAGGGAAGATTCATCAAATTATTCACTAATTTAATTTTCTAAAATTAGAGTGCTACCATTGGGTAGTTACTCAGCAAGTGTATTCATGTCATTATATCTATTATGTCCAAATTTACTTGATGTATTTATGTAATACTGTTGTAAATGTCATTAAGAAATAAATAAAAAAAAATAAAAATTTTCTAAAAAGTTACATGACAATTTTTCGGAATAAACGTTGATACCTAATTATTTAAATATAATATCAAATATATAATCACTATAAACTACAGGAAATGTATTTTAGGTTATAAACATATGCTTTATACATCCATGAAATGATTTTATATTTTACTTCTTCTTTCACACAAGAACAATGAAATAGTTTTTTAAACAATGCTATTGCCTTGATTAGTTGGATTTTAAATACTTTCTACAAATGTAAAAATACTTTTTAAAGTTTACATTGAGTTAGAAAATTTCATTTAATTTCCTTAAAAACATATGATTTACGTTAAATATTATCAGTTTTCAAAAATTATTATTCATAATCTTTTTGCCGCTCTTCGTTACCTTCTACAACTTTCTTAATTAAATATTGTTTTTTTGTAAAATTCTCCGCTTTCCAACGATATATTATAAGTATACCTTCTGACTTGTATTTTCAGAGATTCATTTTCGACCTGTATAAGCATTTTTATTTTTTTCTCCTTCATTCAATTATCAAATTCATTCAAAAGTAATATTTAGCATTTTTTTCGTAGCTTTTAATAATGAGAGATAGTTGATTATTTAAAATAAAGCATATTAAAGGTACTTTAGAGGAAGACGCATATGAACATTGGGCATTTAAGCCCTGTAAAATGACATCAACGGCCATAAGACCTAAATGTTATTAAAGACCACTTAATTATACAATGATACACCTAGTTTCGTCAAAATCGTTAGAGCCGTTTTTGAGAAAATTGCAAAAATGTGTTTCAGCGTTGTTATAAAGTGTCACTTCCGGTTGGCCGATTTTAAGGAAAAAGTTGCTAGGGCATCCAAGCCATATATCTATCTTAAATATGTAATATCAGTTTCGTACGACTTTTCGGTTTCGAGCTAGTGTGAGCTAGCTATAAAAACATACACACAGACACACAGGCCATTTTTCGGGACTTGGTTATCTGGACTTAGGGGACCTCAAAACGTGTATTTCCGTTGAAAATTCAGATTCAAAAATTCCCACGATCGCAATACTTACTCTTACTATATATTACATATATAGGTAAGTGAAAGTAAAAAGTGTTGTTGTTAGTGTAATTATATCTAATAGGACTTCAATAATCACTTAAATGCTATTTCATATAGTTTCTTTTAAAGTAATTATCGTTATATATATATATATATATATATATATATATATATATATATACATAATCCAAAACAAATCCAATACCAACATTCTTATTCTGTACCTAAATGACCATCCCATCAGCTTCAGCTCCTCAATCAAAAACCTAAGCATTTTCATTGACCACACAATCTCCTGAAATCGCCATATTGCCCACATCCCTCGACGGCCAATTTGAACCCTTAAATTATTCCATCGCTTCCGCCATCTCCTACCATTATCTCTCATCTTCCTTCGCCTTGACTACGGCTGCGTGGTGTACGGTGGCCTCTCTGGAATATTTTAAAAAAAAAATATTTTAGTGAAGCCCATAATTATCATGAAGGATTGGACACACGAACACGTTTCAGATATCAATCGATTCAGCACAAACAGATTGTAAAAACCAATCATCAACTGTTACCAACCTCATATCGTTTGTCTTTTACGGAATTTTGTCCCCAAAAATATGTTTCGGTCCACTGTGCAGCGCCCAGTTTGAAAATCCCATATTTCAGGAGTTCCAAATTTGTTGGTTCATGACAATTGTCTCTGAAAGAGCTTTTACAATTGATGACGAAGTTTTCAGTATCGTGTTGGATTATGGAGAGTTGAATGAAAGTTTGTGAAATCAAAAAAGAAGAAGTAAATTTTATTCTGAGACATCTACTTATCTAGTTGCCTAATAAATATTTTAATATTAATTTTATATCTTCCATACAGTCTTATTGATAATTAGCTTTAGATATGTGAATGAATATATTTTGATTTAAACAACGAATTTAATGTTTATACAAAGAAGTCATCTTAGTTATGATGTTGATATTCACTTGGCCAGTCTTCGTATAATTGTTATGACTTCTTGCATTTGGATTTTATAAAATTAAAAAAGTTTTAATGGATAATTTATTTAATTATAACTCCAATAGTACTTAATAAAGAATTAAGGCTAATTATCCCCTGATATGCAATTAGTTAATAAACAAAACAACTGTTTGTAATATTTAAAAGTAAGTTTTTTATGTATATTTTCTTAAATAAATAACATTTATTTTATTAACCTCCAAAAAATGATGCTATTTAAGTTATAAAAAGTTTTAATAAATAATTTGTGTAAACCTTATCTCCGAAACTTGCAACCTCCCTGTTAGTGTTTCAAGAGCCGTGATGCTTGTTGTAGTAACGGTCATATTAGTTATTGTTGTGGGTATAGCGATTTCTTATTTAGGCAACTGGGAAGTTTTGATATTTAATCTTTTAAGAAGATTCTATCAAGTTTTCTTTTTGAAGTTAACTATGGGAGAACAGAGGGAGGATAGCCCTTCTCCTGAAGAGCAAAAAGAAATACTGTCTTGTAAATTAGCTAAATCAGTTGTTGCCGGTGAAAACTGGTAAATATTGTTTTTAGTTTTTTCCATTTATTTTGTTTATAACAACATTTGACCCAAAGGAGTATAACTGGATTAGTGTGGATTTATTGATAGTTGGTGCTGAATTATATCATTTGGTTAGCCTCTTAGAATCATGCTCATTTCTCCCATTGAATGCTTGTATTTGCTTCGTTAATTACAATAAATTAACTTTCATCTCTTTTGCATTCAGTGGCTCTTATAATAAAGCAAATAACATAGTAAGTTTTAATGAAGAAAAATAGTATTGAATATGCAGTCAATTATCATGTTTATTCAGTTTGCCGACGTTTCGAACCAAACATTTGGCCATATTTACTTGTATTTTGTTTGTAGTATATTGTTTCAGCTCTCCTTTAACTAACAATCCCATTTAACATTTAACTAGTAGTTATTTCATGTAAATTATTGCGCATGTGGAAATTGTGTATGTTTGCATGGTAGTTAACTATCATTTAATATTTTAAAAAATCAAAACTAAATGTTAAGGTTAAAAGGTAATTAGAATTAAAAAATACTTAAGCTATAAGTAAGCGATGTAAAAAATAGTACATTATGCCGGGAATCCACTATGTTTGCAAACCAAAGGTGCTCCTCAATTGTTCGACTGTGTTCACTTATTCGCTTTTTTAATTGAACATTATTTTAATTGTTTATAAGGTTAAACCAATGACAATAAATTAATTAATTTGTAGCAAATAATTAAGTTATAAATTTAATAGTGACGCTATTAATTTATGACAATAAATGTTGAAATGTATCAACATTTACAATCATTTTGAATGAAGTGTAATTCAAAACTTTGAAATGAATATTTTCGTTATTAATGAAGAGAAGTATTGCTCAATGTTGTAGACAAGTTACACATTTGATTGTTGTCCCTCCACGATCTTCCTCCACTCTCTTTTGAGTTTTGGCAAAGAATGACAGCCATCAGAGCGCTCTAATCTAGTATGTTCGCAAACATAGTGGATACCCGGCTTTACAATTAAATTAACTGATATATTGTTGCAAATACAATACAAATAGATAGTAATTGAAGATCTTGTTTAATATATATACTTTGAATTAATTTTTGATCTATAAATAAAACGTGTAAAAGGCTCAAAATTAAATATTTTGACTAAGGGGAGAAGGAAAGGAAATTACTAAGTTTGGGGGATGATATTTGATATGATAGGTTGAATAGGATTGTCGTGCTTTGTGAATTTTCCTCAACAACCTTCTTGACTCCATACTATCTCTCTTTCCTAATTACATTTTCTTTAATAAAAGATATGTACATGACCTAATATTACTAGTATCTACTACTAATGTATGTCCTTGATCCTAATGCGACTCCAAATATCTTTAATGCTTTCAATTTCTATTGCCCATGACTTCATTTCATTGTTGAAATAGTTTGACCTTATCTGAACCCCCATCCCTTGCCTTCTCCATTTCATAATCACCACAAAATCCTTTTTAAAACAAATTTTAAATCCTTTTACAATCCTTAAAGGTAATTTGGCAGGATTTATTGGAGTTTATTTTAATTCTCCAGTTTTGACACCATTCTTCAAGATTTATGATGTGTGATTGAAGCATTTGGGATGCAATTGGTGAGTCATTATTTACTGATATGATACATGTGTCATCATATGTGGTGATGACAGTATAAAGGAAGTTAAATAGTAAATTAAGAAAAATTGTTTAATTTTTTGGACAATTGAATTATTGTATTAATATTTATTCATTAATACAATCAATATAATCTACCAACAACGTTATTATAGCACTATAACTAAGCCATTTATGAGTACTAAATGGTGTGGTAGAGGCCTGTAGGCACCTATGCCTTTTCTGCCATGTATGTTCATTTTCTAATAAGCGCTTCACCAGGAGAGCCACGGAAGAATATAGAAATAAAAGAAGGCAGGAGAAGAAACTCCTCAGGAATAAGAAAAGAGCATCAGAGAGAAAGGAGCTGGGGGATATAGAAGCCCATTGGAGTGTAAAAGAAAGCAGGAAATTCTTCCAGAAGGTCAATAGTGGACGTGCCACTTTTAAGCCTAGGATACAAACATGCAAGAAAGAAGATGGAACACTGCTTACCAATAAGTCAGATATACTGTATCGTTGGGCTAGGCACTTCCGTTTGTTATTAAATGATGAAGCGGTTATAGAAGATATAGAAGCATTCGACATTGCTGGAGATGTGCCTAACAATCTTGGAGATATCGAGCCCCCGGACTTTGAGGAAGTAATGGATGCAATCCTTCTCATGAAAAACAATAAGGCGCCAGGACCGGATGAATTGCCAGCCGAGCTCTTCAAGTATGGGATAGATGAGTTGCATAGAGCGCTGTCCGATATAGTCCTGACAATTTGGGATCAGGAAAGAGTGCCACGACAGTGGACTAATGCTATAATATGTCCACTCCATAAGATAAGAGACCAACTTGATTGCACGAATTACCGTGGCATAGCTCTGTTGTCTTGTGCCTACAAAATCCTCTCGGAATATCCTTTTCAGCACTTACCCCATTTGCGGAACGGGAAATATCAAGCTGGCATCCGGAAAGGCAGATCCACTGTTGATCAAGTGTTCACCCTTAGGACAATTTTGACTCGTGAAGTTAACAATGAAAGATGTAAAGGTACTATTTCGCTGGCGCGGTCCACGACAGCGACCGCTATTCCACGCTGCCAACCGCTGTTGGCATAGCTATTTCGCTGAAACTGCTCACTGGGGTTGTTATAACCTGCCTATAACCTTCAAACATTTCGCTGTATCTTCGAAGATAAAAAGATGGACATAATATAATAATAAAAATGAACAACCTTTAATAATAAACATCTCTGACTACCGCTTTTTTATTTGAGTTGGAAAAAGAAGAGAAAATGTTGTTCATAAAGAGAAAGAATATCAGTATTTCGATGTGATGCTCATCATCAAAGTCCCTCTGATATTAGATATCATTAGTTTGAAAAGTAATAGTAATTAATACATAATTGATTAGTAATAAATATCATATATTTGTAATTAAATCCCAGCAGGCGATGTTTTATAGTTTTATCAATAGTAATCAGTAAATCACCACTTTAATTCAAAAATACAAATCGATTTTTCAATGGGTGGATTTTAGGATTTACCTGACGATAAAATTTGTTGGATAATTCATTTAATATCGTTTGGATTTAAGTATATTTGTATTTCACTGTAAAATATTGCTGGTGGAATAAATAAATAAATAATCTTGTTACTTCAACCTTAAAAAAATAATTTACTATTGCATCGTTTCATTTTTAAATGATATTTTTTATAATTTTGCCAGACTTGAAAGAAACAAAATAAAACGTATTGACATGACTTTTATCATCAAAACAATGCTCTGATATGATAACATAACCTACAACCGCCAACAGCTCCACTGCTTCAAGAGGAGTCAAATACGAGCAGCTTAGATATGATGTCATACCTAGACTGCCGAGCAGCGCCAGCGAAATAGGTTCCTTTCTATTCCACTAAAGTAGTGGTCAACCTCGAGCAGTCGCGGTCGTGGACCGTGCCAGCGAAATAGTACCTTAAGGTATCAGGTACGGATTCAATCTGACTGCTCGGAAGCATTTCCCTCCAATTAAGACAGGGTGATGGACTGGCGTGTCTCCTCTTCAATCTTCCACTGGAGAAGACTGTGCGGGATTCAGGAATCCAGACGATATTCACCCGTACTGTACAGATATTGGGATACGCTGACGATCTGGATATCGTAGCCAGGACACGATCGGCATTGGTAAAGGCCTTTAGGAAACTAATGGGCGCTGCTTCAGCCATGGGATTGGCCATAAACGAGGAAAAAACGAAATACATGCATACAGGGACTGGTGGCGACGAGGAACTGAGTGTTAGCCCTTACACATTCCAAAGGGTGAACGAGTTTACGCATTTGGGATCTCTAGTAACTCCAATAAAAGATGTCTCTGCTGGGATAAAGAAAAGGCTGGTGGCAGCAAATAGAGCATATTTTGCCTTACTGAAAACTCTCCGCAGCAGATCCATTACCAGGGGCACTAAACTGGTCATATACAAGACTCTTATACGCCCGGTTCTTACCTATGCTTCCCAATCCTGGACCATCTTAAGAAGTGACGAAAATAATCTCCTGATTTTCAAAAGAAAAATCTTACGTCAAATAGTTGGCCCAGTGAGAGATGGAGATGGATGGAGGATTAGGAGGAACCAAGAGCTTTATGACCTTTACGGAGATACGCCCTTCATGTTACACGACGGCCTGGTAGGCCAAGGCTTCGGTGGGTTGATGGAGTGTCAGCGGACGCACGGAGCCTGCTACGGATCAGAAGCTGGAAAGCGGCAGCACAAAATCGGGCCGAATGGCGGCGGCTCATTGAGGAGGCCAAGACCCACCCAGGGTTGTAGCGCCACGTAGATAGATAGATATGCTGATTTTCTACAGAACTGATTCAAATATTTTAAAAAGTAATCAGTGTTTTAGAAAGATAAATATATTCTCCAGATGTTTTATTTTCCGTTATTGTTGCCCATTTAATTAAATATTCAACTGGAAAAATTTTTTGTTAAAAAAATTGACTTTATGGGTGTGTACGCCTCAGGAGTGTTTGTAAAAATCCAACATCGGGCTGTACCTTTAAATATAATGAATGCAAAAGTAATATAAATATAAACGCCGAATTTCAGCTTAAGTTAAATTTGTGATCCACAAATAAATATTACATAAATACATTGTATACTAATTACAATATTAATGAGTGATCCTAAAGGTGTAATACAATTTATTCCATGTTGCTAGACCATAACAGATTGCCGAACTGAGGAAATGTGGATGAATAGGAAGAGAGGTCAAATGTGGAGAAGAGGTGTCTTTAATAATTGGTCAAAATATACTTAAATAGTTTCATAAAATGAAAATGAAAAAATATATATAAAATAAATAATTTTAGGTGATTAATAGTCAGAACGCAGTCATTTTTATGTTTTTTATTTGTGCCAACGTTTAAACCTAAACATGCTACATGGTGGGCCTACCGTGCAATCTCCTCCTCCCCGCCCCCTCCCTACATCCCTTTAAATTGCATAGTGTTGTGATGCTTGTTTCTATTTATTAAAAAAAAATCAATATTCCTACAAAAAAAAGTAAAGACACTGCCCCAAACATGGCGGACTGACGGCTTTGACTTAAGTTAGTTTTTTGGTCACTGAGAATCAGCATTGGGCTTAATTTCTTAGTAGTTGGTCTTTTATTAAAGCTGGATAGCCAGAGAATAATACTACATGGAAAAATATTAAAAAATAATTGGCTTAGGCAATAAAAAAAGCCAGTAAAGTCAACTTTTTCAACAATAAAAATTTCAAGTTGGAAATCAAGTATCATATGTAATTAAACAGCCAACAACAATGGAAATTATGCTGAAATAAAACACCTGGAAAATATATTTCTTTTTTTAAACACTGATTACTTTTTAAAATATTTAAAGCAGTAGAAAATGCACTTAAGCGGCAGAAAAGTGTTACTGGTGTAGGTGCCTACAGGCCATTTACCACACCATTTAGTACTCATAAATGGCTTAGTTATAGTGCTAAAATAACGTTTTGGTACAATATATTGATTGTATTAACAAACTAATATTGATGTAATAATTTAATTGTCCAAAATATAAATTGATTACATACATTATTTTTTACTACTTATTAAATATTTCATTTGCCTATTTCATGTATCATCAATCACTATGTTTTCATTACTAACTATTACCTGACTTATTATATCTCTGATTGTATTAAACAATTTTTCAGCTCTGATGCTGGCTCACATGTTTGGGTTGAAACGGAACCAATAAAAACCTTTAAAATGACTGTGTCCTGATTATTTTATCACCTGTAATATGTAGTACAGTTGACTAACTTCCTTCAATAATTTATTACATTAATAATTATTCAATATGACCTATTAATTATTAAAAAGTAAGGCAGTGGATCAGCTAATGCGAAGATTGTGCTCTCAACTCGTCTCTCAGTATTTGCATATTTTACAGCGGAATCTCTCTGATTATTCACTAAATACAGTTCACATTTACATCAGAGCAGCTGATATTTACTGTTTGATGCTTTTTTTTTTTTTTAACTCTTTTTTTTTTTTTCTTCTCTTATGATACGTGGTATTATCACCAAGTGGTGTCCACTAAGAGTACTCGGTCAGATGGCTCTACCCCTCGTGGTTCATCAGCCAAACAAAGAACCTCGTCGCTGCATATGAGAAACGCCTCCAATGAACATAACGAACATTTCAGAACCTTAGCCCCAACTAGTCACTTCTTCGCAAGAAATGGTCAAAGAATCCCCTTTCTTTACTCCAAACCTGTACCAAGTGCTTCAAAATGACCGAGAGGTAATGAAGTCTGCAGCAATACCCAGAGAACCAAGTCTTCTCTGATATTTGTGAAAAATATAAAGAATTTTCAGTTGTTCTGCACCCAACTATATAAAATCTGCCCTGGCAGTTATTCATGCCTTAACAGAACCAATGACACCAGGTTCTGCTGAAAGCCTACCAAAATAGTGAAATATTTATCAGAAACTAATGCACTAATTTTCACATACACCAGCTGAGACAGGAGAGAGTGTTACGAGTGGTGATAAGAAATTCGCACTCCTCAAACCTAACTGAAGTGATTTAAGAAGAACTAACGATGCTTGCTTTCAATGTACGTCAGCTAACCAACGTTTTGATGGAGAACAAGGAGCAGCCAATGTTATGAAATAAAATCCCACCACTATTTTTTTTTCGTAGATTGGAGCCATCACCAGGTATCGAAAAAATTAATGATACACAAGAATATACTACATAATGGTGAAAGTAGAGAAACCGTACCTCAAGAGAGAAATCTTGCAGTGCCATTATTGTCAGCTGTACAGCCACACGAAGACATATTGTCACTGTCAGCTGTCACAGTGGGGGCCTTATAAGATTATTTAGTCACCTCTATCTACTTTTAAACACTCGAATTTCTATTTACAATGTGATCTTCAGATATTTTATCCACCCATCAAAGTTGTACCTTTTGGTATTCTACTTGGCTTCTTTTATTTTATTACCAATAATCCTGTAAATATTTAATTGTATTTTATGGACACACCAGGAAGTTAATATATATTCTGTATTTATAATTTGTTCTAAAGGGGCACTAGTCTCCCAGAATAATACAATTATTGTCATTCATTCATAACTGTTCCTGATTATTCTCCCTCCAACTCCAAGCTTCCTCAGATTTACTCCCTCCATTACTCTTCCTGCCAGTGCAACTTTGGTCTCCTCTCCTTGTTTTCCATCCTGAATTTCCCTCAATAACCAGTAATCAGTATGGATATAATTCTTTTTGCTAAGAGAGTATAAAGCATTTTATAAATTGTGCTGAAAAGAACATAGTTTATAAAAATGTTTTGACAATATGGCTTGTTAATTGGTTTATGTTTATTTTTATTTTTTGTGTGATTTACTATGTATATGGTCAGCACGGAAACAAGCAGAGTATTAGAGAAAGCCATAATTAGTTTGGGTGTTGTCATTAATAAACAGTGAGTTTAACTTGAGGTTAACATATGTTCATTTTTATTGGTTATCTGACTTCTTATAGAAGTAATTTAATGTATTTATCTTGTTATGTTTGAGATTATTTATAAAATTGTTTTGTTTGCTAATATCCAATTTATTTTTTAGGTATCTTGTCAATTCTCGATGGATGAAAGCTTTAAAACAATTCATTGGTGTTATGAGAACTGACCAATCCTGCAGTAATCCTGGACCTATCGACAACTCTTCTATCCTTGGTAAACACATTCGAATAATTTATAAATTTTTTCTATGTGGCTTAAATTAAATACTGTGTTCATTTTTTCAGGAATATTAAATAATTTTTTTTTTTTCTTACCTATGTATGTTAATTTTCTTATTTTACTTTCCACAACTCTTTTTCTTTTATCTCTATTTTAGTTATCATTTGTATGTATATATTGTGTGAATGTTTAATGTAGCCCTAATATTAATGATCTCCAATGCGGCAGAATGTATTAATTTTCAAATAAATAAATAAAAAAAATTTATTATGTTTAAAAATTGTGCATTTTATTATTTTTGTGGATAAAGAAATGGGTATTTTGGAAACAATATGTAGCACAGGGTAAATTTGGAATAAAAAACTTTTATTTTCACAAAAAATTTTCTCAATATTGGGTTTTGTTATACATTTTGGTAAAATAATAATTTTTTTATCTGTCAAAAAATTTAATGAAGTAAATAAGTAAAAAATTAAACTGAATCTTCAATTTTTATTTAAAGTTTATTATTAAGTACATTTCTATTTTTTTTTTTTTTTTTTTGGTAAAATGGTGCCTCTTGTCACTTAAAATGTGTTTCAATTTAGAAAATGATCTTCCTACTTCTACACTCATCAGAGGGAAATTTTTATAGCAACTCAGCAACTTGGGATCTCCTTCATTTCGGGCATAATTTCTGCTCAGGCAATGATTACAATTTTTTAATAGTTGGTGTCCAGGATTTTTTAAAAAATATTTTATGTGGTCACACAGAGAAAAATTTTTCTGTTCTATTTTTTTAATAGCAACCAGCAAGCCGAAATGGGATCCAATAATAGCCATGTCAGATACAATAGTTGAACTCACCAAAATGGTTTTTAACTTGATAATTGATTGATTAACAATCCACCCAACACATACGTGGTCTTCCAACTCTTCTACGTCTTAATATTTTTTCTTCTAGGAGCAGTTTAGATGCTTCATTACTATTCATGCGTGCAATATGCCCTGCCCATCTTAGACGTCCAACTTTTGTTATTATTATTATCGTGGCGCCGCTACAACTCGGTGACGAGTCTTGGCCTCGTCCACCAGCTTCCTCCAGTCATCTCTGTTCTGTGCAACCATCATCCAGCTCCTGACTCCCACGACATCCCTTGAATCTCCTGCCACACCATCTGACCATCTTAGTTTTGGTCTTGTGCCATAGAGAGGTTCTGTCAGGATCATGCTAAGGATTGCTTCATTCTCCATCCTTGCCACATGGCCAGCCCATCTCAATCTTCCAAACTTCATCCTCAGAGCAACATCTTGATCATTAAAAGTTGAGTCCCAACAACAGTTAAACACTCTCCAAAAGTCTATATCTAATGCCGAGGTTTAGTTTTAAAAATTAAAATTCAGGAGTGTAAATAACCTAGATCCCCGACAAAACGGAAGGCTATTTACAACTGCCACCCAAACAAGCTATTTACAATTGCCGCGCAAACAGGCCATTTATTAACACCCCCGAACTAGGTTTTTTACAATTTATTAGTCTCCTGCAGCTTTATATGTCTAAAATTTTTTGTATACAGCTCAAGAGGCATCAACGTTAAAGAAGAGCCTGTGTCCACAGAAAATATCACTGATTCTCCTTCCATTGATAATTCAACATCGAAAGTAGAAATTTCCTTATCTCCAGAAATATTGAAGAGCGTGTCATTATTTCTTGGCTCCTTCTCCTTTGACTGATTCTCCCAGCCGGTTCCGTTATCGCTTGATAGCCTATCTATTTTTTTCTCTTTCTTCTTCTCTTGATAGACTCACCTGGTTTGTTATTCTTCAATTGTGAGGCATATAGGACAACTAAATAGGACTATTCACTCCTGTAAAACAAAACAATTTATTTTGACAACTGTAATAAATGAATCTATTAAAGTCTTATAACTGTAGGCTTGATATTCTTAATCTTCAGAGGAGTATGCTTCTCTTCAGCTGTCACGTCATTCTGCCTTCATGCCGATGCCTCAAGTGAGTTCTTCTTTCTTCTCCTGCATCCTCCTCTAGCTGCTGCCACCCACCTGGCTTTTTTCTAGACTTCTTCCTTTGTACCTTTTTCGTTGATTGTTTATCGATTTGATACTTTTCAATGAACAGCTTGTCTACTGCATAATTGAGTACAATTCATAGTGCAACCCTACATTACGTCTAGGTCTTCTCATTCCTTCCCTCAATGTCATATAAAGGAGTAAAATGTAAATGAAATGAGAAATCAAAATGTGATTTTTGAGGTCGTGATAGCTGAGTATGTTTAAACATAAACTTTAACCTTCTCAAATCTAGCATTACCAGTTCAAATTCGGCTTAGATTGGTTGAAAATTATTTATTGGCGGCCCCACGGAATGAATTTTGACCTTCCCACTCTGATTAACATAGGTTTGGTTGTTCCTCTAGAATAACTGTCAGCCTCATTTATCTTTTAAAGTAACGTATAATGTATACTTCTTAGTGCAACAATGATCTTCAATTGGCTCGACAGGCCATTACTGGTTCCTGGTCTCTAATAACTACCAGTTTGCATGCTGTTAAGCAGCAGTTCTGCAGTTCCCGATCCCCAGGATCGTCTGGGCATCCTCTGTTACGCCATCCATCTAACTAAGACATGGTCTTCTATGCCTGATACCATGAATGACCTCACTCATTATTTTTCTGGGAATCTCATCCTATGACATTCGAGCTACTTGGCCAGCCCACCTCACTCTTCCCAGCCTTATATGCTTCACAATGTCAGGTTCACCTAGGAGGCTATGTATTTCTTGATTACCCCTTCTAAGATATGTTTGGCCGACTCTCTTAGATCCATAAATGCGTCGCAGAATTCTTCTCTCAAAAGCCAATAAACTTCATTCATCTGTCCATGATATTTATTACCTTTGACTTTGAGCTGTATATCAGAATCGGTTTGAACAGTGTCTTATACAGCCATAATTTTGTTCTCATAGACAGATACTCCTTAAATGTATTCCTAACCCAAAGTAACATCAGTTTGCAATGAATTTTCTTCTCTCAATTTCCTTTGAGATGTCATTTTCCACAGTTATCGCCCAGGTACAAACTCTGATATCCGATTCATGCCCAGATTCTATGAGAACATGGTGTACTTGATTTCTGATCTGGCCATCTGGTGAGACCAGTATCTCTTTGTGTGGAAATTTTGTACTGCTTATAACCAATACTTTTTCCATTGCAAAGTTAATTATACAATGTCCATTATCATTAAAATAATCATGTTTGCTTTCTTTGCCTACATTAGGTCTAAATTTATGTACTTAACTTAGCATTTAGGTCTCCTATGATTATTTTTACATCCTTCTTTGGGATTTCGTCATATTCTATATATTTTGTGTCATAGAAAATATCTTTCTCCTATTCTTCCCTATCCTCTGTGGGGGTTCATTCACACACATGATTGTTATTTTGAAAAATCTCCCTCGAAGTCGTCCTGTGAACATTTTTTCATTGATTAGTGTGCTTAATTGATTTTCCCATCTAGAATCCAGTCCCATATACTTTTGCATGGTGCCCATTGTTAATAAGCAGATAATTCTCTAATTCCGTCTTTTCCACATTCCTCCAGCTATCTCCTATAGAACAGCTACATCGATGTGATATTTATCAAGCTCCTTTTCCAATCTTGCTAGATCCAAGTTGGTTTAATCTTCTTACTTTCTATGAAGTTATATTAAATTTGTTTCCTAAAATAACATTTGTGACTGTTTATTTATTTTCTTAATTTTTTATTACAGCTGTAAATGGTGTTGACTTAAAAAAAGGATTGGCCGAAAATATAGATTATGAGCTTATTTCCGAGGAATGTTGGAAGCTATTAATTAGCTGGTACGGCTACTACCCAGATCAAGCTCCAATAGAAAGAAAGGTATTGATTTAACTTTTAGTATTATGAAATAATCATTTCTATGTTCTCCACTCTTTGATGGAGGTATAAGTTTACCAAAGGCTTTTTGTGTGCAACTTTGAAGCAATTAAAGATGGCTTTTTAATAGTTTGCTCTTGAAATGTTTACCAGATAGTGAATATACTTTTATCAATAGTATAGCATTGAAGTATAGTCCAGTGAAGTATAATAAACAAAAAAAAATATGATATTTAACCATAATCTGTTAGGTTCTAATTTAAAGAATTTAAACCAAACAGCCTTACATCTTTAAAGTGCAATTAAAGAATTTAAAAAAAAAAAAAATCAATGTTTTGTCAAATCAGGCATCATCAGCACAGAAAAGAGAACAAACCGCCGATCACATCACTTCAAGATATCCAAATGTATATTCCAGTGTATGTTTGGATGTCATGGAGAGATTTGGTCATCATTTTGTTCTCTTTTCTGTCATGATAATGCCTAAATTGGTGAAATGAGGACGGTTTATTTTTTTTTTTTTTACCTATATTTTAGAAACATAAGGCTTGTATGATTGGAATTTTGAAAGTGAAAGTTTCACTTTGTAATTGCTTAGCATTCTATAAAAAATGAAGTAGATAATATGAAATCAATGAGATCTTAGGTAGTCCAATGAGAATGTCAAACTAGATTACAAAAAATGTAATTTTTTAAACTTGTATATATGGGTTCAAACATGTATAAAAAAATGCTTACATGAGCCACCAAGGGAAAACTATTTATAGCCAACAAAGACATATTTTTTTGATTTTTTGTTTTTTTTTTGTTTTTCACCTATAACTCTTACGTGGTGGATCAAAGCGAAAAACATACTTAATAATTTGGTTAAGTGGTATGGTCGATAACCATGGTCAATGAACCTTTATTTTCACCAAATTTGCAAGTAATTACAAATTACATTAAATGGCTTTACAGGTTGGAAACGAGTTTCCTAAGAGAAAAAATTAAAATAAAAGTTGTAGAGCATCTAATTCCGCATACACTGGACACCAGTAGTTTTAATATAAATCACTTACTACCTGAAACGTGGTTTCTTTTGACACCTCGTTTCTCAAAATCCTTCGCTGCTGAGAGGTGGAAATGTGTCCTATACTGTGTACAGCAGACTCTGAACAAGAATAGCTCAGATGAATAGACACCCATACTATCTGTTATAATATTTAACAGTTACTTTCATTACCAATTTTCAGCCGTTGGTAGATTACCAATTTCGAGTAAAGTAAGTGGTCTATATTAACACTATTGGTACCCAGTGTATGCGGAATTTGATGCTTTACAACTTTTATTTTATGAGTTTTTCTCTTAGGAAACTCATTTGCAAGCTGCAGAGCCTTAGCTTTTGAAATTAGCTTTTGACTAATTTGGTAAAAATCAAGGTTCTTTGACGGTACTTATCAACCGTACATACCACTTAACCAAATTATTAAGTTTAGGTACTCTTTCAACACCATATTTAACATTGTTTAATTTCTTAAACAGTGTGTTTTTCGCTTTAATGCACCACTTAAGAGGTTAAGTGAAAAATGAAATAAAAAAAATCGAAAAAGTATGCTTTGTCGGCTGTAAATAGTATGTTTGAATCCATATATACTAGTTAAAAAAATAAAAATGTTTCCCACATTTTTCGGAAAAATAAATTTCCCCATTTCTGTCTTCAAGTTACTGGCCTAATATTCTTTAAACCAACTACCAATTTTTTTTAGGTAGTATAATCCAACTGTGGCAGTCTCTTATTTTTTTTTAATATAAGTGTTATATACAAAAAAATTCATTTAAATTTTTCTTCAGATAATGTTATGCATCGGCTCTCAGACTATTACAGTAGTGAAAGGACTAAAAGATTTTTATCTCGCCATTTCTTTACAGTCTCAATTAAACTATTCTGTGTTTATTTGTTAATAAGTTATTTTATCGTTCTTTTCTATAATATGCACTCTAGACACCAATCAGTAAGAAATATAACAAAAAGTTAAATCCATGAACCATTGTCTATTTTTTTTTTCAACTAATTAGACTATTTATTACTTTTCATCAATTTATATTGAGAATTCTTTCGGAAGGCTGATAGTAAGACATGTTCACTTACTCAATGTATATGTACTTTGCCCAAATGTTACAAACAAGGTTATTCAGCACTAAAAGAGCTCAACACAAATCAGTTCTGAGATATGGTGGATAACAATTCAAAAAATGATTAATAAATGTCAAACTTGATTTAATAATTGAATTTAAAACAATAAGGCTTAATTTATTGTGTTTTATCTTTTCAGGCCATTTTAGCTGGCTTCAACTATACGATGGTCGAGGTTTATTTGCTAGAACTCAGATGTTATAACACATTTGAGTTAAAAAACGAAGTACGGCTGTCTGTTAGTAAAGCAGATTGTTTAAGTATGTATTAATGAAGTATACAATTACTAATTTCTCCTCAAAAATTCCTAAGAAAAATAGTTTACCTCTATACCTGCTAGGCCTAATTCACATCAAACACCTTGCCAGGATATTATGGCAACGTTTATGACACCCCACCGATTGCCGCTCTTATAATTATTACAGTAAACGATTAAAGCAGGAATTGGCCACCTTCAAATCCTAAATCTTCAACTCCTACCTTACTGCTCTCTCTGTTCATTACAATTCTCTATGAAAGATCACCAACAAAATCCTAAAATCTCATCATATTTCCCATCCCCTCCGTCGATGCGATGGTTTCTGGGCAGCATCTGATGAAGACAAAGCTGAGGAATTTGCCAGACACCTCTCCAGAACATTCACCTCTCATCTGGAATCCAACACCACTCATACCAAATAGGAGAAGAATTTCTTAGATCACTCATTCCACTTTCCTTACCCCCTAAAGTAAAGCAGTTAATCCTTCTGAGGTCAAACATCACTTACAAAAACTTCCTCTCCGTAAATCTCCTGGATATAACCTCCTTACCTCTCAAATCCCTCTACGACTTCCTCCTAAAGCTGTTATGTTTCTCACTTACTTATATAATACCATCCTAAGAACCACCCACTTACCTCTTTTGTGAAAACATGTCACTATTATCCTGTTTCCAAAACCAGGATTTCCTCCCAACACAGCAACGTCCTATGGCCCTGCATGGATGTGGCCTAGAATTTCCCTGACATATTCTCTGTGTCATAGGAGGTGACTAAAAACTCCAGATTGGGCTTGTGCGTTGGTCTGGTAACCCATCCATGGATATGGTCCTACTTCCGAACAAAATAAAGAAAATAAAAATGATTTTTTCAATAGTGATATATGAAGTTTACTAAACAACCCTTCAACTATTCATTATATGTAGTTCAGATTAGGTATATATTATTTTAGTTTATAAAACAGGTATTGATATGACTCATTTCCGTCGGAAGTATATACAACTTAAATTACCTCTTAGAATCAGTAAATATTTAAAACAAAGTGTTAAATTGTAAACGTTAAATAAAAAATTCAAGATATTCAGCAAAGTATTTTTGAATTAAGTTTTTTATTACATAATTTTTTTAATAGAGGCCTTCTTAAACGACCTCTGTATAGAATTAAGGAAGTTAAATTTTAAAAAATAATAATAATAAATTTGGAAAAATAATTTAAATGTTTTTTATAATTAAATTATTTTATTAATATTTGATCGTTAATACAATCAATATAATTTACCAAAAAACGTTATTATAGCACTATAACTAAGCCATTTATGAGTACTGAATGGTGTGGTAGAGGCCTGAAGGCACCCACGCCAGTACCACTTTTCTGCCGCTTAAGTGCGTTTTCTACAGAACTGTTTCAGGTATTTTAAAAAGTAATCAGTGTTTTAGAAAGAAGAATATATTCTCCATATGTTTTATTCCAGCACGTTTGGTGTTATTGTTGGCCGTTTTATTACAAACGACGCTTGATTTTCAATTTTTTTTTTTTTTAATTTACTTTACTGGTGTTTTTTATTGCTTAAGCCAATTAGATTTTAATATTTTTTCATGTTTTATTATTCTATGACTATCCAGCTTTGATAAAACACCAACTATGACAAAATTAAGCCAAATGCTGATTCTCAGTAACCAAAAAACTAACCAAAGTCAAAGTCGTCAATCCGCCATTTTGGGGAAGTTCGTTCACTTTTTTTGTGTGGGGACATTGGTTTTTTTTTAATAAATAGTAACAAGGAACACAACGATATGCAATTTATAGGGATGTGGGGTTGGCAGAAAAAAAAATTATTTAGATATCAAAAATTCTCGATGTTAACGAAACTAATATTTTCCATTAATCAAATCAAAATTAATTGAATGAAGAATATAAAGTTTACAAATTACATAAAAATAAGGCTTATAGGTACTTTTATTGATGCCTACATCTTAACTTTTAACAATAGCTAGTTCAAAAAGGTGTGGAATGTGAGCCTTTTCCAGTTGTTCTGTGCCTACCAAATTGGTTCATTTCTGTACTCTCTTAGAGAGTACCTATAGTCTTCCATTTAGCGAAGCTGGAGATACTCAATTCCTGGTATTCACTATACGACTCTGCATTTCGGTGCAGACGCCTAGCTTCGTTTTCTTTGACTGGTCCAAAGATGCGTTTTAGGATCATCCTCTCAAAGCAATCAAGTGTATGTGCAACTGATTTGTTGAGCCCCGTTTCCTATGTGTAAGTCACTATTCACCTTATAAGACATTTGTAGCCTTATTTTCGCAGTGTGAATAAGTAACCTTGTAAATAACATGTTGAGAGTTAATTGTAAATATGCCTTTTGGTGGGAATTGTATATTCCTTCCGCTTCGTTGGGGGAATAGGCTATTTACACTCGTGAATTTAATTTTCTTAAAACAAAACTCCGGCACTGGATATAGACTTTTTGAGGGTGTTAAACTGTCATTGGGAATTCGGGAACCTAATACTTTTTGTGACACTGAGTGAGAAGAAACAATAAGAAATATATATATATATATATATATATATATATATATATATATATATATATATATATATATATATATATATATATATATATATAGATATATATACATATATACATAATGTATATAGATATATATACATATATACATATATATATATATATATATATATATATATATATATATATATTATATATATATATATATATATATATATATATATATATATATATATATATATATATATATATATGAAATGTGGGACTGAGTAAATACACTTTGAATGAACTGGCTCACCTGGTTTGTTATTCTTCAATTGTGAGGCCTATAGGACAACTAAATAAAAGGATTAATTTTCTAGTCACATCCTTCGGATTTGGTGCCATTTTCTCATAATTTATCATATGTCTATTTTAGGCCAAAGGTCACCAAAAAAAAAACACAGTTTTTTTATTTCCTGTATGCTTTATTCAACGTTTCGGCTTCAGGAGCCATTTTCAAGAACCTGCAAAACATGCACCGCGCCATAAAATGTTTAAAATTTATCATTGCGATATGATTCGTCCTAATTCATTCTTTTATTTCAAAGAATGTCGTTTTCCGTTTCTCTATTTGCAGACGGTATCAAGAAATTATTGTTCTTCAATAGGGCATTCATACAGGACATATGATAAATTATAAATAAAAGGACTATTCACTCCTGCCTTACAAAACAATTTATTTTACAACTGTAATATGTGAATCTATTAAAGTCTTAAAACTGTAGGCTAGATCTTCTTAATCTTTAGTGCTGTGCCATTCTCTTCTGATAACCTCCTTTCTTCCTGTCCCTGCCTCTAGTGCCTTCTTTTCTCCCTGGTGTTCTTCTCCCGCTGCTGCAACCTGCTCACTCCTTTTTCAAGCTTCTTCCTTCTTCGATTCTTTATCGATATGAGACTTTTCAATGAACAATTTGTCTACTGCACAATTGAGTACAATTCATAGTGCAACCTCACATACCTATATATTCCTTCTCATTCCCTCACACAATGTCACATACAGGAGTAAATACTGGGATCTATCTACTACAACCTGCTTCTTACAATTTTTGGATTGGGAAAAATTTGCTCTGTTGGCTGCTGCTAATCTACTTCTTATTTCAGCTTCCTCTTCCATCTTTTCTGTTATTGTAGCTCCCAGGTATTGGAAGCATAGAACAACATCGAAAGCATATTTTCTGAATCTAACTTGTTGTGGGCCCATTTCATGTTTCCTAATGCACATAATTTTGGTTTTATTTTTATTCACTTTTAGCCTCATATATTTCGCTTCCTTCTTTCAGAAGGCTTCCTCCACAGCAGCTTGTGGTCTCCCAATAATTGCTATGCCATTTGCATATGCTAGGATTTGTAAAAATATTCTGGTAAATATTGTAAAACCCTGGTTCAGTCCCATCTTGCTAAAAATTCTCTGCAGTGCTAGATTAAACAGTTGTGTTGCCAGTGTGTCACCCTATCTGAGTCTGTGTTCACACTACTATTTCCGCTTATCCGGACTTCGCATATATTATTTTCCATGGTACACGTACTTATTCCAATAAGTTTTCTAGGTATACCCATTTCTTTCATTGGACTGTAGAGTTTCTCTTTTATTACAGAGTTGTAAGCTGCCTCAAAGCCCACAAATAGTATCCACAGAGGGTGGCTGAATTAATACATCTTTTCACCCAGTTGTTTAAGGGTGAAAATTTGATCTATTGTAGACCTGTTCTTACGAAAATCGATGCCGATGATCACAGCTAAGAAACTTGTATTTTAGCTCTGGAGAGCAAGGAGGCCAATCCAGGCATTGGATTTCTTTATTTTGAAAGAATGCACTTATTAGTATAATGCTGTAGACCAGTTAAAAAATGGTAAACCAATAGCAAAAATTTGTCACTTTTGAATTTCTGGATCTTCAACAGTTAGAAAAAATATCACATTAATGAATAACTTTAAAATCATACCTAAATAATATAATAGTCAACTTTTGTACATATTTTTAAAAATTTAGATACCTAAATATTCAAATCACAATATTTTCATCAAAAACTGTATGCTTACGATGCATTTCGATAATCACTATTTTTTTAAATGTATACCTCAGTTGGAAAATAGCATTAAGTGCCTAAATGCTGTAGGGACAATCTTGTATAAATTTGTTAAAAATGGGTGTAGAATTTTTCTGTTTTTATCAAGTTATTGTCTAATTTAACACTTTTTTTTTTCGTACTAAAAACTGATAAACTTTCTTATTATGTTTTAATAAGAATAATTGTGGGTTTATGGGTGACTGTAGTGAATAATTGAAAAGAAGGATGGTTGGGATGATCAGTCAAATTGAAATGGTAAAAAATAAATAATTTTATTTATTTTTATATTCGCTGAAGTTCAGGCCTTCATCATGGCTGGAAAAAGAACCAGATAACAATAGGTATAATAACATTGAATAATACAGAATTAAGATAAAAAAGGTGATGGGTATAGACTAATAATTTTTAGTAGAACAAATTAACGTAAAATGAAGTAGATAGAATTAACATTAAAGTAAAACAAAGTAGGTAGAACGATAACAGTAACAGATAACTAAGAAATAAATAATAATAACTGTAACAAAGCATGCACCTATGAAATAAGCATAATAAAATATAAGGTAACATAAGAAATTAAAATGGTAATCTAGAATAAAGTATAAAACAGAGAAAAGAAATATGAAGTTATATAAGGAAATAATAGATATAAATAGAACATTAAGATATTGTAAAATCTATCAAAAAATATAATGTAAAACAAAAAAAATGTATGAGGAAATATATCATATATAGAAAATAGAGTGACGAGAAGGATCTATGATAATAAAAATTAACAAACCTGCTGTTCAAGAAGTAAAGTCAGACAAACACATTTATAATGGGAGGGAGGGGAGTTGGCAGATGGCGCCCTCTTTAACTTTTGACTGAAAAATGAACTAATATGATGGATGAGAGATTTATTATAGATAATATTTATTTATAATGGAGTACCTGATTTATATAAAAAGTGAGGTTAAAGAAAACATAAAAGTAATTTCTTTAATGAGATTGAAGAAAAAGAAAACGGAAGGTTGAATGGAAAAGAGTAAGCATATATATATATATATATATATATACATATATATATATATATATATATATATGCACCATTGACTTATATATATATATATATATATATATATATATATATATATATATATATATATATATATATATATATATATAAGTCAATGGTGCATGTGGAAAGTTTGAGGGAGAGGAGCTGACAGATGGCGCCCTCTGTAATGAATAACCGAAAAAGGGAACTAAGTGGTTTATTGAAAAGTATCAAATCGATAACCAATCTACAAAAAAGGTACAGAACGAAGAAACCTGGAAAATTAACGGCAGTTAGCAGCAGCTGGAGAAGGACACGGGATAACAAAGAGCACTTGAGGCCGGGACAGGAAGAAGGAAGGAGGTTACCAGAGGAGAGAAGCCCACTATACTGAAGATTAAGAGCAGATAAATTCATTTATTTATTTATTACAATTCTGGAAATAAATTATTTTGTTATACAGCAGTGGATAGTCCTTTTATTTAGTTGTCCTGTATGCCTCACAATTGAAGAATAACTAACCAGACGAATCAATTTTCAAAGTTGTATTTACTCAGTCCCACATTTCATATGTGTGTATATATATATAAATATATATATTATATATATTTGTGTTAAATATACATGTGTTTAATATATATATTAAACACCCTCAAAAAGTCAATATTCAGTGCCAGGGTTTTGTTTTAAAAATATTTTAAATTCACGATCCAAATAACCAACACCACTGAACAAGATTATTTACAATGAATTTGAAATATGTCTTGGTTAGGTGAGAAATAGTTCTATAAGATGAATTCATGAAAAATATAATATCAAAAATATTTAAGTTTTTATACGTAAAAGTTCTCAGAAATTTCCTTAAGCATGTCAGCTACTGGTGCATTTACCCTAAGGCAGTTTCATACAAATTAGCTTTAAATGTTTTGGCAGCTGTGAAATCTGCACTTGCTTTTTCCCAACCATTTTCACAAATGTAGTTTTCACAGTTTCAAAATTTGTCAACCCTGCCAGAGGCTGCTTTTAAAATTTGGTTACAATTGTCACTTTTTTGATTTATTGAATCTTCAAAAAGACTACGTACTTTAGTTTAGATTGTCTTAAATGTTGTTGACACTTTTTTTCCTAATAATTCATCCATCTAAGTCACAACATTTTTCCATTTTTTTTTTTTTTTTTCCCATGATCATTGATTTCACTGATGTCTATTTTTTTTTATTTCTGCAAGAGTTCTCTTGCTTCATTATTTTTCCCTTAAATGTAGTTGAAAAAGTCGAATGAGATAGTTTAAATTCTCGTGCTGTTTTATTATTGTTTCAGAATCTTTTGATTTCCTCTTATTTTTATTACTTACAGTAGCCATTTTATGAGTAAAAAACTTACATAGCTTTTATAGACATACAATTAAACTTTAAATTTAAGCTACTATTAAACAACAATCACAATTAAATAAATGCACGCTGTGAGTAACTTAGAGGAGATCAGCGGCTGGAATCGATTGGATCATCTAGATGTTAGAGGAAATCAATTTTATCTTCTTGCTCTACATCTGGATGGAGAAAATGTCAAAACCGAAAAAAAAATCTTTTTTTTATTTAGTCATCAGTCCAAGTGGACCTAAGTCTGATTGTATAAATCAGTCATGTCATTGATAAAGATTATTCAGATACACTTATTATGTCATTAATGTAGATTTCTTTGGTTATTGTGTTCAGGTTCGATTCATAACACGCTCCGTGAAAAATACTCAATTAATAAGTCACAAAGAAGCCGTCTTTGGCTATGTCTAGGTTCAAACAATTTTGATCTAGTCAACTTGGGCCTTAGTGTTCAACTTGCAGGTATTGGGGATAATCACTCCATAATTTTGGAGACACAGAACAGTTCCGGAGAATGGATCAGGACTATGTAAGTTGTTTTATTGTCTTATTTAATAGATATGTTAAAATTCTTAATCATAACTTCTAAATTAATGATATTTTTACATTTCGTTTACATACATTTTTGGCTAATCATTTTTAGTTTTGTTTTTTTTGTCAAATACATAACATGCTTTATATAATACGAACTCCGACAATATTATGTACATATATATATATGAGATATTCTTAAATGCTACCGTTTACATACACTTTAAGAAATGAGGAACGAAAAAGAGACAACATAGAATAAGTTCATTTCATAAAAAAAAACTTTTACTTGTATATATTTATAAAAAAAAGTTAGTTATAATTGAATAAAAAAAAAATATAAAAAAAAAAAATTGAGTGGTGTCGAAAGTAGGAAATACATGTACTATCTCTTATAAACAGTATTATCATATGATTATATGATTGCTACTCAATACATATATAATATTAATAGTTAACAGGTATCTGATAGTTTTTGGAATAGGAGGTTTTAGAATGTGGATATGGAGGGGGCATGCCGAATTTTGATCGGGAGGGAATTCCAGAAGTTGACAGAACGGGCTACAAAGGAGTTTTGGAATTAGGCAGATCTATGAGAAGGGATGTATAGGTCAGAAGGTTGAGATCTTGTGGTGAGGGAATTGATTGAGTACTTAAATTGGAGAAGGTTGTGGTCATAAGAAGGACGATGATCGTTAATGATTTGATAAAAAATTGTGCCTAGGAAATATTGTCTTCTTAAGGAGGGGAAGAGCCACCCTAACTCAGTGTAGTGGTGTGAGACACGGAAGTGTCTCGGGGTCCCAATTACAAATCTTACGAAGCTATTCATAAGTCTTTTCAGCCTATCACGGAGCTCCATAGAGAGGCCATCGTACACCACACAGCTGTAGTCAAAGTGGGGGGGGGAAGATGAGAGAGGAAACTACGGTTATTTTGGGGTAGGAGATGGCGGAAGCGATGGAATAGTTTGAGGGTAGAAATTGCATGACGGGAGATATGAGAGATATAGTGATTCCAGGAGAGGGTTTGATCTATGAAAAAGCCTAAATTTTTAACAAAGGAGTAGAAGGTAATGGGGTGGTTATTTAGATAGAGTGAAGGAAAGTTGGTGTAGGATCTAAGAAGTGACTTGGAACCAATGACAATGACGTGAGTTTTAGCAGCATTTAGCCTTAATCCATTTAAGTTTGCACAGGCACTGATTCGATCTAAATCTTGAATTTTGGCAAATGCTACCTATAACTCAGTGGGAGAAAATTATAGATAGATTTGATAATCGTCAGCATAAAGATGGTGGGAACAATGGATGATTAAATCATTGAGGTAATTAATATCGGAGCTGAAAAGAAGAAGAGACATGCTTGAACCCCGGGGAACTCCAGAGGATAAAGGAAGGTAGGCAGATAGTTGTTGATTGGGTATGTAAACTGCTTGGATTCGTTGTGAGAGGAAAGACTGGAACCAAGAGACGGAACTATTAGAGAAGGATAATGATTTTAGTTTGTTGAAAAGGATGGAATGTATAATTGAGTCAAAGGCTTCAGAGAAATCAAGAAGTATAAGTATAGTTAGTTTTTTGTCATCTGTTGCAGTCTTAATATCACTGGTAATTTTAATCAGAGCAGATTGTGTAGAGTAGTCAGGACAAAAGCCAGATTGGAGAGGATCAAGTTGGTTGGATTTTTCAAGGAAGTTGGAGACTTGGGATTGCACTAACCTTTCTAGGGGTTTTGAAAGATTGGGAAGGATTGATATTTGGCGGAAATCTTCTAGAGAGGATGGATTAGGCTTTTGTTTAAAGGAAGGGCAATGGCTTTTTTCCAAGAGGTCAGAAATATTAAATTCTGCTGGGAGAAATTGTAGTTGAAAAGGAGAGCTGGGAGGATTTCAGGGAGACATAATTTTATTAGTTTGATAGGAATGCCATCTGTGCCTACGGAATTGGTACGGGATTTCATTATAGCGGTAATAAGGTCTGTGGGGAAAATGTCGGAAAAATAAAAGTTATTGTCGTTAAATAAGGAAGGGGAGGGAAAGAATATCATCAGGTGATATTGGAAAAATTGAGGAAGGGGATCTAGAAGGTTCTCAGAGGGAAAGTTTATGAAGCAGAAGCCATTTTGATTTTATATCAGGAGTTGAGGAAAGGGCTTCATGAAAGTAGGTCGCTTTCGCTTGTCGTATCCTTGTCTGTGTCGTGTTACAGAGCACTCTGAATGCTTGATAATCATCTGCAAGCCTAGTCCATCTAAAGCGTCTACGGGTAGCGCCATGTCTCTTCTGCTGATCCTTAATTTCCTGACATCCAAGGAGCAGGCCGATGACGAAAGGTAGAGGTTTTGGGAGGAGCATGGGTATTGAGGATATTGAAAAGATTAGTAGTGAGAATATCAACCATGGTTTCTACAGAGGAGCAATAATATATTCCAATCAAAGCCAAGGGTATTAGGTCAGATAATATTTTTTCTGGAGTAAGGGTATCCAGATGGCGGAAAGTGATAGTTCGAGGGTGGATTGGAGAAGTGCAGATATTATACGTTATTTGTATCAGCCGGTGAGATGATAGAAAGGATTCTGGAAATTAAGAAGCGGAGAGGAAGTTTTGTTCAGAGTGATGTAGAAGTCTAGCCAAGTGTCAGATCTGCTGGTATGGTAGGTGGAGGAAAAAAGAACGATTAATAGGTGAAGCGAGAAAAATAGATTTTCTGGATAGGATTTGTCATTGGAATTAAAGAGAAAATTGGTAATGAGGTCACTGGAGATAATTATTGTAGGATAGAGGGGAACGAAATTGAATAGGGTTGATTCGAAGGACGGGCCAAATGGCACGAGTGGAGGACGATATACCATAGAGTAAAGGATAGAAAAAGTATTGCAGAGGATTTCTACTAAAAGCTATTCTACTTAAGGGTGATCTAAAGGTGTTGAGTATCGAAGATTCGGGTCTTCAGGCTATTGTGAACAAACATGGCTATTCCACCGCCAGTCCGGATTACCCGGTCATGACAGAGCAGGATGTAACTAGGCAAGGAGACGGAAGAGGATGGTATGCAGGGTTTGAGTCAGGTTTCGGATATTGGTATAATATGTTAAAAGTTTTGAGTAAAGTATTGCAGAAATTCGTCATAATGGGTAGGAAGGGATTGAGAGTTTACTTGACATGTGATTAGGGAACTAAAGATAAAAAGAATTTTAAGGAACAGTTAGTGTTAGGCTGCGAGAAATCAAAATGAATAGCAAGTACAAAAAAGTGTTTATAGTAAATAAAACTTAGTGAAGAAAAAGTGTATATATAAAAAATAAATAATAAGAATGTACTTAAAAATAAATAAATTTGGTGAGTGAGAGTGTAGAGATAGCACTAAGACCAGAAGTAAGAGAATTTTGATGAGAATAAGGGGTTGACAAAATCTAGGTAGTCAGTCAGTCGAATACATCTAGATCCGAGGCCTATTCAATCAGGATAACTATGTCTGTCCTATTTTCGACACCGCACCTTTCCGGCGGCAAACCACATGTACTTGATTTTTCCCACCGCTCTCTTCTGTCGGGCTAGCCAATAGAGGTGTCTGTATATGCAAGTCATCTCTTCACCCAGATAAATTCGGTGGCAGTATATATGAGGATAATTAAACAAATAAAAATACTCACAATAAAATTTAAATAAACATAGCGCCTGTCTATGATTTTTACTTTCACTTCCCCTTTTTCTGAAAATACTTATTTCTGCTAAGAAGAGAATGGTAAGTGAAAGTAGTGTGATGCGCGCACCAGATTGTATTTAGGGGGCCACCCCTCGCCGATGACTAAACCTGAAATAACTCTACAAAATCAAAAACTATACTCCGAAACAATTGTTTTAATGATTTGGGTCATCTTCTTTGACATTTTCTAAAAAAGGGCTTAAAATATTCATTAAAATGGTCAAGATATAATATAATTAATTTAAAATGCTATTGAGCTGATCAATAGTCAACATAATTATCGATTATAAATGTATTGATGAATTTAAAGCAATAGTTTTTATTTTATTTTCATATATCTTGTGATTTATAACCTCATAGTTCTCACATACTAGTTTTTTTTGGCTACTAGGTGGATCTTTTGGAAAACTGTAGGGAATAATGGATTATGTTCTTGATTTAAAAAAAAAAATCTGGGTTTGGATATAAGTTCCAATTTTAAAGAATAATTAATTATCTGTTAGATAATTTTCAAAGAATAATTGTTTCATATATTTTATTGCAAGATTTTTTTCATTATTGCTGGCCATTTAAATACATTTGAATTTTCTGCTTTTCTATGAACAACTTAAAATAATTGTCTTCATTGGTTCTTTTTATTGCCTTAGCTAATTTTTTCTTTTTATAATTTCAAAACAGTTCATTTATTTTCAAGTTTATTTATTATCATCCAATTTTACACCAATTTTTAAATTTTGTCAACTTTACTTAAACTTGAAAATAAATAGTATGCACCGAAGAAGTGAGAAATATTATGCAGATCATTTATATTATTAGTTAGTTCTTAATTTTTTTTTATTTCAGAGATGAAGAAACCGTTTCTGATGTCCTTGCTCAGCCCAGTACATCTAAGCAAACTATGTAAGGCTTCTTTTTTTTTTTTTTCTGTGTGATTTTTTTAATGTTATATTGTCCGAGTTAGTTAATTTATTCATAAATGTTTTTATATTTTATCTCCCCGACGTGCCACATTAGTTTTTGGATGACTCCTTAAATTCTAAAATATTTTTATGAATTCTTAGCATTGCATCTATCCTTTATTTCTTTAAGATAGTTTTTAAGATTTGCTGGTATGCTCAAGTTTTTTATTTTTGAATTTATTGTCATTTATTCATTTAATAAAAGATAATTCATCTTTACTGATTGTGTGCTCTGTTCTGTTTTGAAAACTGATGGTGTTAAAGTTACAGATCAGATTCAGTTAAATGGATTATGTAAGTGAAGAGAATTAAAGCTGCTGGTTTCTCTACTGCTCCTCGTGTTTTTTGTGGTATTTAGATCACAATGTTTAGATGCAAGATATCAGTTTTCCGAATTATATGCCAAAAAACTATGAAATTTTCACATGTTTTTGTCTTCTTTTTCCATAATTCCTAAATAGTGAATTTTGTTTTTAACACTATTTTTACATCTTGCATAATACACTGTGACCTATGTAGGCCTATTGTGTTCTTAAAAGCTGTTTAGCATAAAATCTGTTCTTTGCGCTTCCACTATGTCTTTGTTTTTTCACAATAAACTTCCCTGATTTTCCGTTTGGCACAGCTCATGCTTATACCACAATGTTGTTCGGGTGTAAAGGGAATATTTTCAGTGTTCTTCCTGGATATTTCATCAGCTTTATGGTTACCTGTAATGCCGGCATGCCCTGGTGCACAATAATATGTTATTGTGCAGAGAAAGGTTATTTAAGATTGCATTACACTTTTTAACAACCTTTGATCTTGTGGAATAATTAATTATTGTTTGTACGGTTGCCTGAATATCAGTGTAAATAATAATTTTATTCCCTTTCAGTCTATATTTCAGCAGTGTTAAGGCACAATGATGAAAATTTGCCAACATTTGCGACTAAAATACTATTGCATATTTTCCCAGAGAAATGGGTATGCCTTTATTGGATCTATCCTTTTCCTACAACTTCGGCTATGAGCGAGCTGTCTGTGTAGCAATTTAGGCCGTTTTTAGGTCTCTGTTGCTGAATACTAGTCCAGTAAATGAATGCCCAAAAAGGGGGTGTAAAGTGTGTGAACAGGGCCCTAAGCGATTCTTTCAGAAACTTGTCAAGGGTTCTTAGGGTGTGAAAGTATCAAAATTCCTGACGTCCAGGTGGTGAGCGAGTGGGTGGTTGGGAAGGGGTAAGAAAGTTCACAACTTTTTGATTTCCGCTTATATCTCGAAAACTGCGCATCTTCAGGGGAATTTTCCATATAGTAAATTAAAGGCTATAAAATTATCTAAAACTTTTATTCTATAGGTTTTATGTTAATTCTAAACCGTTTTCGACCTACATTTTCGGAAAAAATATGAAATTTTCTAAAAAAAAAAAACAATCATTTTGCCTCACATTTTTCATCAAACATTCCTTTCCTCCATATGGTCTAAGATATTCATCAGAGAAAGAAATTCATTTATAGATGTTCTCCAATTCCTGGAAATCCATATCTCCTTCTTGCCCCACATAAATATCATAATAAGTTTCTATTTTTGTTTGTTACCTTAGCAAGAGATCATATTTCTGTTTATTTAAAATGCCAAAAGTATCTTAATTTTCATCAATGTTGAAATCTTGGGTTGAACCTTAAAACAACAGACATGAAGTAGTTTTTACAATGGATGGAAAACCAGTGGTACCAGTCGAAGTGGGTGACACTTTAAATGAAAAAAAGTTATTTAAAGAAGTATCTGTAAAAGATTGAGGTCTCACAATTCTGTAAGGTATTAATAAAATTTTAAATGGAGAAAATTAATTGTTTCCAGCGACATTTGACAACATCCCGATAATTTTAAGTGGATATAAGTTTGCCTGTTGATGTGGAAGGATCATTTTATAATTATAAAAGGTTAGATTTCGCAGAGGCAAATTTACAAATGCTTCTGGTAATTATCTTTAATACAGAACATGTTTCCTAAGCAGACTAATTCAAACTTATTATCTATTTTATGTTATTTATTCCACAGATTGTTAATTCTGTTATTGTTTCAACAAAGATTAACATTAGATTTTTATCCATTAACCTACAAAATTTTAAAGTGTTTACATACTTACTATTCCATATTTGTTATATTTTATTACTATGCTTATTTAATTATGTGTTAATACAATTATTGTTTTTTCATTTGTATATACTTTGTACTATTTCAATGTTTAAATTTTTTTAATGTGATTCATGTTATGTTTTCGTTACCATTATAATGTATATATGTATAGATAACCTTATGAGCCTTATATGTTATTTTCATTCTTTAGTTAAGACATTAAAAAAAAAAAAAAAAAATTGAAATGATTGTAGTTTTCAACCCCTCCATAGTTTCTTTTCATTTTAAAACATTTTCTAGGTACATCATTATATTAAAATAAGTTGTTGATATATTAGTAATCAATTAATTAGTTAGTTTAGTATATTTAGAGACCAGTTATTGCATTTTTCATGTTTTTTTTACAGTATATTTAATGTGTTTTTTTACTACATATATGGCATATTCTGTGGGTTTTTACTTCATAAAAATCCAGGCCTTGGTTATCACTTACTAATATACACTCACAAATTTAGATGAATTCACGTTTTTATTCACTTTGGACGTGCAGATCTTGGCAAGGGTTGTTCGTCCATGGCATCTTCACCCTCATTATTGGTAAACGGTGGTCTAGACCCATATACCCTACACTCCCCCTCATCCCTACAAATTTCATATTTTATTCCTTGCAACTGTTTATTCAAAAATTTCCAATGGTCCCACAAAAAAAATTTAATAGACTGTCCCAAAATGGTGTCCAACATGGCGTATTGACAACTTTGACTTACTCGAGTTAGTTTTTCGGTCACTGAGATTCAGCATTTGATTTAATTTTGACAATACATTTATCCTCCTAAATCAGTAATTAATTTTTAAAATATTTGAAACAGTTCCTTAGAAAATGTTCATAATCGGCGGAAAAAGCGGTTCTTCTGTTACCACCTACTCTCTTCTTTTCCAGTACCCATAAATGGCATACTTATAGGGCTATAATATGTTTTTGCTATAACTTTTGTTTGTTTGTCTAATAATACATGTAGCCACACTTTAAATCCAGTTATTTAATAAAGTAGAAACATTTTTTCTAAAAAGGATCAATTAACACGAATTTTAATTTATTTTTTCTCATCATCATCATCATCATAATAATAATCCTTTCTCTCTCTACCGCTGCGCAGTGTGGGGATGTCCTCTATAGAGCTCGACCCATGTGTCCCTCTCCTGTACCAGCTCTCTCCTCCTGCTCCAGTCCAGCCCTCGCTTCCTGAATGCCTCCTGCACGCCTTCTTCCCAGGTGATCCGTGGTCTTCCTCTTGGTCTTCTACCCTAACCACTCTCATCCATACGTTATCCTGGTCGTTCTTTCCATGTTCATCCTTAGGAGGTGCCCGAACCATCTAAGTTTATTCTATTCTAGAGTGGTTTCTATCGGCTGAACCTCGAGATTTGATCTTAATGTCGTGTTGCAGATCCTATCTCTCCTGGTCTTTCCCTCACCTCCATTGTCTGGATCTGCCCCTTGTGTTTTGAGGTAAGGTTCCATGATTCAGAGAAGTAACAGAGGATGGACAGGAACGTCAACTTGTAGACGGATGTCTTTGTTTTCTTCGTCACTTCTCTTTTGTTGAGGAAACCTTTCCAGATTGAGTGGAACGTTCTTCCAGCTGCTCCCAGCCTTTACGACACCTCTCCATTGATATAGCCACTTTCATTGATGTATGCACCTAGATATTTGAAATCCTGCACCTTTTCCAGGATCTGTCCTTTCAACCTTAATATTCTCATGTGTTTTGTCTTCTGTGGATTAATATCACTATTAATGCTGGACAGCTCTTCTTGCATGATACATATGTTGTATTGTAAGTCCCGGTCATCCGCAGCGAATATAATGAGGCTATCGGCAAAACCGAAGACTATGTAGAAAGTAGGCTGTAGACTCCTAACTCTTATATCCCAGTCGAAAACGCCGCAGTCTGGGTTCAGCTTTCCTCAACGCTTGATCCAGCACCATTATGAAAAGTAGGGTACTTAGGCTGGACCCCTGCCGTATTCCCTGCGTCGTTTCAAACTCCTGGGATGTGTGGTTGCCAGTCCTTATAATATTTCTGGTCTTTCGATAGAGACTCCTAACAGCCAGGATCGTGCCAATGTCAATTTGTCTTTCAGACAGAGCTCGCTCTACATCCTCCTTTTTGACTCAGTCGAATGCCTTTTCAAGATCCACAAAGCAGACAGAAAGTTCTTTCCCTTCTCTATGACCTGCCTCAAAGTGAATATCAGGTCCTGTGTATTCCTCGAGTTTCTTAATCCATACTGCTCCTCTCTGATCTGGCATTCGACTACTCTTACCCTTTCTTCAAGGATTCTTGAATAAAGCTTACTTGGCACACTGTGCAGAGATATGCCTTGATGATTATTGCATTCTCTATTGTCTCCCTTCTTGTAAACAGGCACTACCACAGCAATCTCGCTGTCCTTCGGTATCCTTTTCTGATGCTAAATCAAATTTAAGAGATGGAGAAACATTTCTTTACCTTTACTGCATCATTTCAGGAGTTATTTCATCAAGCCCTGCAGACTTGCCCAGCTTCATCTTAGAGATAGCATCCTGTAGTTCTTCTTCGGTGATAAAATCATCTTCCGAATACTCCGTCTCCGCATTGTGGATCTCATCCAGATCAACGTTTCTCTCTTCCAGCAGCTCCTTGAAGTACTCTCTCCATCTTTTCATTATATCTTCTTCCTATCATAAAATCCTTTCCTTCCTTATTTCTTTTATGACTTTGTTGAAGATATTTTGGTTCTCTTTTGCTTTTTTCTCCATTTTGTGACCAAACTCTTTC